TTTTTAAACCATCGGTGCGCTCATCCGTCCGACTGACTTTCTCTCCATCTATCTCCGGGCGGCGACTGATGCGGCTGATGATGCTTTCGCGGCCTTCGAGTCCCGTCCGCGCTCTTTTTTCTTTTGCGCACCTCTCAACATTGTTACTCTATTAATGAGGACTGAATAAACGAAATCGCGCTCCAGTCCTTTCGAGAAAATCGCCTCGCCATTACATGATAATAATATTCGGCCGACGTATCGGGCCCCGGACTCTCGCGCTCATGGTCCCGACCAACGACGTGAGCCAATTAATCTCGCTCCCCGCTCGGGAATTGCCTCGCTCCTTTATCATGTACTCCTTTATTGAGTGCAAATTTTGATATAAAGCTTAAGCTTATTACAGGATATTGCGTAGCTTTAAAATTATACTTGGAAATTTCAAATTTATGAAAGTGCTGGTCCGGTGATTTAGATGTAGAGCCTTCGCTCGCGTAATACGTTTACCCGCTTTCTTCAAAACTACTCTCGAGTACTCAAAATACTCTCAACCGCCCCTTTCTCATATTTTCCTCTCGGGCAATAACCTCCCGGTCTACATGCCCGTCGCCTCTCCCCCCCCCCTCCCACCCTCCATATCGTCCCCATAATCCTGCCGCGATCTCTACGACATTCGAATGCACTGGCTGACATCGAATCCTGCCGTTTGTACGTTACGATCGATACGATCTAGCGACGATCTTGCGATCCCAGGCATTCTATATCTCGGGCTTCATTAAATATACCATGAAGTCTCACCTACCAACATCCGCGAGGCAATTACGTAATAATTGCGATCTATCTACCTCCCTCGGTCCTGATCATCTCCTTCGCCCAATCCACTCGGCCTTACTATTTGCCTTGCATCCTCTCCCTATCTCTTGGCTCTCGTGGGCCTTGGACCGACGATTAACATGAACTTTTTCTATATCTGGGATTCCTCATCCAATCAGTCATTCTATGCCAATTCCGGGAAAGCCGAACAACGATTTCCAATCTTGATCATTGAAATCTGTTAAGTTTTCTCCCTACAGCCACCGCCCCTACGTCACCAGTCTCGCGTGATATGCGCTTGAAAAGTAAATGTGACGTGGGGCAGCTTGGCGAAGCAGTGACGAGTGATCGGCGAAATTTTCGGAATTTGGTCGGGGGTGGAGAGACGCGGGCCAGAAACGCGGGGACCCATCGGATGAGTCCGTCGATGAATTCGGACGTGTCGGCAAGCCCGTGCTCCGCGAAATGTGCAGCAAGTCACCCACTCCTCAGCGATCGAGGCGTCGCTGTCTCCTCTTCTCCTCTCGCTCTTTGCTCGCTCTCGCCCCGTCGGATCAATACCCGCACTCCACCATCCGTTCGCGCAGTCCGGAGGGCGTGGCTCAGACGTCGTGCAGCAGCCGAGATACGCGCAACCCCGTGGCTCGCGGAAACTCCACCTTCGCCGTGAGGATACGCGCGTAAGCGTCCGCTTTCTCCACTTAACCACAGACGCAAATCATTCGACCCCAACCCTCGCCCGCCTATCCTTACAGAGCTGTCCCTCGTGCTCCTGCGACTACGCTGTCTATCGCCTCTTCTCACACGACGTATTACAAAGGACCTGCAGGTCCGTGCGACATTTTCTCACGGCTAGTTATCGTTAATGAAGCGCAGCTTAGCGGATTATTGCTAAACTAATGTTAACATTACTGATTTTTACGTGCTCTTTCGCCGCATTTTTTTCCGAGCCAATGACCCAATATTTTCATTTATCAATGGCTCCGAAAGGATGGAATTGTGGAAGTTCCTAAAGACAAGATAAGCTTTCAAGCGATATTCCCAAGTCAATATTACCGCTTAATTGACCTGTGTTTGTAATTATATTTTTATGGTCAGCCGAGGCAAGTCTTTTAATTGAGATTGACACAATAATGTGCACATAGAATTTTCAGTGGAAATAAGAAATTTTCCTCAATGAAGTAATTTAACGGAGCTAATGTGAAAGTCAAGCCCCGTCGATTTGTAGGTACGTAAAACATCGGATGTTATTATTAAAAATACGAATCCAGTCGTTGGGCATTTAACGCACACATTTAAAAAATCCAAAAATTCAGGATGAATAAAACGGACGATAGTAGTGCCGAGCTCGTAAGAAAATATTATCTCTATTTCGGATAAAGTATTTTCGTATTAATTTTTTGACGTTAACAGTTGAATTTTTATTGACGTATAACAGACTTAAATTATATCCACTAATACAATTATAGGAAGAATAACTATAAGTATGCTTACGTGAATGGGTATTTTCACTAAAATAAATACATGTGATGCACAATACATTACAAATTGGAATAATTAATTCTTTTCTTCAACGATACATACATCTACATAGCCATGATAGAAATTGCATAAATGCACGTCAAACCAAAACTAACATTTATATCTGCTCATATATATATACATTGTGTTAGGAACAAATGGGTAATTACTTTGAATATATACGTTGGGTCTATAACTCAACGAGTGTAAAGACGTGCACACATAGTACTCGACGTATGCAAAGATCGTACGGATCGTCCAATTTGCGCGGAGCCTTTATAATTCAATGGCGTGGTTTACAGACGCAAACTATAGCGCACAAGAGAGCGCGTGTGTCCATGCGTCTGCACGCGTGAGAGATAGAAGGATAGATAGATAGATAGATAGATAGATAGATATATATATATATATAGAGAGAGAGAGAGAGAGAGAGAGAAGTTAGAAGGGAAGCCTTGTACATTCGCGTTAGAGCTCGTGTCGCGGCAACTTGGCTCTCTACGTTCCGCGTTGTCTTCACGTCCGTGAGCATTGGTATGAGGTTGGAATCGCGCGCGGGTGGGGGCGTGTCGCCTCGATGGCGCCGACTGCTAATGGCCACGGGCCGCCAGACTTTAATTTCCTGCGCGTTACTGCTGCTTCCGCGCGCGGACTCGCCATCCTTTTACCTTTTCGCCCAAAATATCCTTACCCTCTCTCTTTCTCATTTCGTCCCCCCCCCCCCCCCCCCCCCCCCCCCCCCCC